TTTTTTTTTTTTTTTAAAAAAAAAAAAAAAAGAGCAGTTCGGATGTCCTTCTGTTCTTTCCTAATCTAAAGTGTCCTTGTGGCTGCCCCAGGTCGTCTGCCCGCCACAGAAAACCAGCCCCCACCACATCCAAGTGCCTGATTTTGGCATTAGACCGCACTGGGAAGTGTCTGTGCTGAGTAAATAACGGCCTCTGAAATAAACGCCCCAAAGGGCTGCATTCACCACACTTTCATAAACACCATCATTCTCCGTTACTTATGTGTTTGTCCAAAAAAAACATTTAAGCAAACACAGCTCAGGGCTTCACGCGCCGTCCATTTATAGAGCTGGGGAATGATTTGGAAGCGGTCACATGTCCAGGTTCGTACCCAGAATGTATCTGCCTCTGTCCCTACAAGATCAGAGTCACCTGCGGATTTGAGTCGCGCATGCACTGCTGATCCAAGTCAACCACGTTAAACTATTAGTATTAAAAGTATTAAACTGTTTAAATACTAAAGGACTTTAGGCCAACTACGAAACCTGCACCCTTACCAATTATAGAAAGTTAAAGCTCATCTCTTGTATTAGCAAAAATTTTCATACTGTAGAATGGGTTTCATAAAATGGAATCTCTTGCATGCGAGACTCATATCCACGGCTGACAGCCTCTTCCACCACCACAGAGACCCCACCCCCCTGGTATGATGGCCCAGCCCCCTACTATAAAAGCTCTGCCCCCCCTGGGCACTGACCGATGTTCCTGAGCTGCTCTCGCCACACCTCCACCTCAGGGGAGTCCGGGTTCTCAGCAATCAGCTGCTGAAGCGTGTCCTTCAGCTCCTGCACCTTCCCGGAACGCTGCTCCAGCTCGGACATCAAGGCCTACGGGCACAAAGAGTGTCAGTCGGGCTCCAAGGCAGCAGAACTGCGCATGGGAGGAATCTCTGCAATACGGAGCCATAAAGGTCACTGCAGTACTGAGGAGCCACGGCATGAGCCACCGCCGGCGTCATGACCCCTCGCCAGGAATTTACATCCCCGCTTGCCCAGTTTGCCTCAAGAAAAGGCACAGAAAATGTTAAAAACAAAGGTCTTCAAAGACAGCACAGCTGGCACCTGGACCTGTACATCGTGTTCTCTAATGAAATCTTTATTTAGTGGGGGGCTTCTTCACCAGCCAGATAAATTTCATCCAAAGTGATTTATCAGTCGCTGAAGCACATCTGAATCTCTCCATGTCCTCTTTGGCCTGACTGCCTCTCCCCACCCACCCCAGGCACAGAAGTGGAGCTTCACCATACCTTGTTCTCCTGGGCCTGGGCACGTACCACCTCAGGCCGGGAGGGGGAGATGGCCGTCCCCGTCGTTGCTGTAAAGCTGCGCTCGCGCTCGCCCAGCCAGCAGCCCAGCTCCTGGGCCTCACGCCGTGCCTTCCGCCGCAGGTCCAGCGCGTCTCCCTGCCGCTGCAGCCGCAACCGCAGTTCTGCACCCAGTCGCTCATACTCGCTACCCACGTCAGCCAGCGCTACCTGGATCTTCGTCAGGTCTGTGGGTTCCAGGATCATCCGGAAGGAAACATTAGGAATGCCATGGAAAAAGGGGAATAGGGCTGAAATACTCAGACCTGAGAAGCAGCAAGGCAGACAGGCAGCGAGCCGACAAGGGAACCGGGAAAGATAACAAATAGGCTCTGAGTTTCCTGTTCATAAGCCATCAGGCTACTAGTCTGTCTCAGCTTAAGACAAACATATGGAGACATGCACAGTCCAAACATACAGAGACACACAGGACGAGTGTGTGGAGACACACACACACAGCCCGAACGTACGGAGACACACAGCCCGAACGTACAGAGAGAGACACACAGCCCGAACGTACGGAGATACACACACAACCCAAACGTACGGAGAGACACACACAACCCAAACGTACGGAGAGACACACACAACCCAAACGTACNAAGACAAACATATGGAGACATGCACAGTCCAAACATACAGAGACACACAGGACGAGTGTGTGGAGACACACACACACAGCCCGAACGTATGGAGAGACACACACAACCCAAACGTATGGAGAGACACACACAACCCAAACGTACGGAGAGACACACACAACCCAAGCGTACGGAGAGACACACACAACCCAAACGTACGGAGAGACACACACAACCCAATCTTACAGGGACACACACCTGAAGTGTACAGAGACACACAGCCCAAATGTACGGAGAGACACACACAACCCAAACGTACGGAGAGACACACACAACCCAAACGTACGGAGAGACATACACAACCCAAACGTACAGGGACACACACCTGAAGTGTACAGAGACACACAACCCAAACGTACGGAGAGACACACACAACCCAAACGTACAGGGACACACACCTGAAGTGTACAGAGACACACAACCCAAATGTACGGAGACACACACAGCCCGAACGTACGGAGGGACACAAAGCCCAAACGTACGGAGAGACACACACAACCCAAACGTACGGAGAGACACACACAACCCAAACGTACAGGGACACACACCTGAAGTGTACAGAGACACACAACCCAAACGTACGGAGAGACACACACAACCCAAACTTACAGGGGCACACACCTGAAGTGTACAGAGACACACAACCCAAATGTACGGAGGGACACACAACCCAAACTTACAGGGACACACAGCCCTGCAGCAGCTAACACATTAGAATTGTACTATAGTGAGCTATGGCTCACTATTAAAAAAAACAAAATTAGAAAAGGATGGGGGGTGGTGAGGGTCAGGGGCACAGAGTGCCAAGATAACACCCAAGTGCCCAGCAAACACCAGGGCTCTGGGTCACCCGGCCCCCAGGAAAATCATGACAGTTAAATTGGTGACACCCGAGTGTCCATGCTGGGGCCCCCAGACCAGTTTGCTCACCCCCAGCCCAGTCCACGGCGCCCTCTAGGGGAGCTCACCTTGGCAGGTGTGGATGCCGTTTACGCTGCTTGGGCTGCCTGAGTCACCACCTAGCTGGGCGGGACCTGAAGGGTGTGGATAATCTGAGAGGGCTCAAGGTACACAACACCGACAAACAAAAGCAGGGTGCAAAGAGGACGGCATGCCCCCGCCCTGACTCAGCGCCGCTGGCTCTCACTACTCACCAGTCTTGTTCTGGGGGGAAGTGATTTTAATGATTGACGTCTCGAGCTCAGACCCAATCTGATTCAGCTCCTGGACCTGCGGCCCCCGGGCCTCCCACTCACAGAGCAGCTCCTAGGAAGTGTGTAAAGTTCCTATTCACATGCCAGCTAACACTTGCAAGAAACCAACCATTTTAATACAATGCAAATTGTACAAAGCAGCAGCTCATGATGCTGAAATACCAGCAAAACTATTTTATAAAACTCTTCAAATATACAAAAGCCAAAGTCAAAATGTGTATGTAGACAGATCACGCCAGAAAAATGTACCATTCACAGAATCTCCCTCTCTCTCTCTCTCACACACACACAAACACACACACCTTCAGCCTCTCCACTCTCCTCTGCAGTCCTTCAGTGTCAAGGCTGGGTTCTTCTGATGGCAGCTGTTCTTGCACTACCTGAAGCCACCTGAGGAGGGCGCCAGAGAGGGAATTGAACAGTGCTAGCTGCTGGCCACAACTCTGGACAGCAGTGGATCTGCAAAAAGAAACAAAAACAGACAGAGAGAGAGAGGGAGAGAGAGAGATAATTAATCAAAGTCAGTAATAAGAAATCTTTGGTTACTTATTAATTATATTGGTTTCTGTTCCAGTCACCCACTTATTGGATTACGTTAGAGCTTCACCAATGCCATAAAAATCCTTCACAAACTACAAACATTCTCAAGAGAGTTACACTTTATTTATACTGCAAATAGAAACAAAAAAAGTGATAGGATGGATTCCAGCTGCATGAAAGCATTGTCTTGTGATTGCCTCCATCTAGTGGACACACTGGGCCATTACACCAAGCTCTGTACTGCAGAGGAATAACTGTTGTTGATGTAATTGAGGAAACGCAGAAATGAAAGGAAGTTAGTTATGATATGGTCATTTTTTCAGGGGAAAAACCCTTCCCAGAACCCCCCACTTGTGAAAAGGCTGATTCGTGCCTGGGGCAGTCAGTTAAATGGTGCACAGCCAGACCAGGGAAGCACAGTGCCTCAGGGCAGGGCTGGGGGCTGCTGTCACAGCTTTGCTCTGCGTGTGTGGAGTCTGTATGGGTCTCTCCCCCAGGTGCGAGAGTGGCTGGAAGATGGAGAGGATGGACGTTTATCTGATGACATGCACTCACCTCTCATTGACGCTGGATTCTAATCGGGCAAAATCCTCGGACACCATTTTGAGAGTGTCCAGGATAGCCTGTCCATTGGCGATGGCCGTGGACTGGCTGAGGTCCTTTCCAAGTTCGGACAGGCACTTCAGCTGGTCTACTTCCTGGTTCAGCTCCTCCCTCACTTCCTGTTGTAGTAGAGATTGATCAGTAATGGCCCCCCACTTCACCTTCCTGCTCCCCACACCGCACACCCCCCCACTTACCGCTATCGCCTGTCTGTAATCCTCCATGCTGCGATCCGGCTGCCCACCGGGACTCAGCGCTCGTTCCCGCGTTCGGACGAAGTTCTGCAGGTCGCTGCTCAGTCGCTCAAAGTTCTCCAGCTTGGGCAGCAGGCCACGCAGCTCCGCCTCTTTCTCGGCCTGCGTGGTCTGAGCCGTGGAATAGCGCCGGGTGAGATCCTGCAGCGCCCCCTGCAGCCCGGAGGCTGTCGTGGCGTCGGCGCTCTGGAGCAGCTTGGACACAGACTCCTGCATGGCGTCTATGCTGCCCTGCCGTGACAGCAGCTCCTGCCGGAGTTTCTGCGTAATAAAGAGGCGTGACAGGAGACGGTGTCACTGCAGCGTCACACGGCTCTAAAAGGAACGGGAGGCACTGATCCTGGTACCTGGTTCTGAGCGAGAGCGTCCTGCACGGCCTGGGCGGTGGGCTGGATGGGACCGGGGGCCAAAGCAAGGCCGTCCAGCCAGGAGAGCAGACCCCGGAGGCCTTCCTGGGCGCTGAGCGACTGGGCAACAGCTGTCTGCAGCTGCTCTGCCTGCAGTGACACGGACTTCGAGAGGGTGCTAAAGCGACCCTCCAGGGCATCTAGGGGAGAGGTGCCGCGATGCAGTTTGAGATGGGAAACCAAGCTGGACAAACTAAATTAACATCACAGAATACTGGAAATCTCTCATGAACGGCGAGCATCGGACCCGTGAGAGAGCAGTCACGGTCCCCTGTGGTTGCTGGCCGTGACCCCCCCATCACTTTCCTATTTATACAGAGATATTTATACCACAGGCGTCCAGGTTAAGTCCTGTTCCAGGTATAACAGGACCCACGTGACCCTGGAGCCCAACGCCGGAGCAGAGCAGAGCCTGCAGAGTTCGGCCTGGGCCACAGCTACCTGCGGTGTGCGCGATGTCAGCCGGCCTCAGCGTGGGGGGGTCCCGCCTCTCCGCCAGCTCTCTGGCTGCCCGCCGCACTCTCTCCAGCTGCAGGGAGCGCTCCGCCATCTCATCCTGCAGGAGCTGTCAGAGGGGGGGGGGGCGTTTAGGCAGGGAGGGTAGCAGTAAGTCTGCACGTAAATGAGCAGCACTGGCCAGTGCGACGCAGAGGCCGTGAGGACGGTCAACGACGAAAACAGCGAAGGGGGGGCTAAGAGGGAAAGGCCTCTGTGCAGGGGCACTGTAAAGGGGGTCTAATATGCTTTCATGGGGCCCAAATCTCTAATAGCGCCCCCTGCAGTTGTGTTCGTGATCAGACGGTCACTGGCTTGAGTCCTGTCCGGCGCAAAATAGTCACATCTCCATTGGGCCCTTGAGCAGAGCCCATCACCGCCCCCAAAATGCTCCAGGGGGCCGGATAAATGGCTGACCCTGCACTCTGACCCTAAGATTCACTCTCACCTGTTTAAGTCTCACAAGAGAGCAGAGCATTATGGGATACGTGAAACATTCCACATGTACCTGTACTTGGATGAATGGCAAATGAAGCCCTTTTTAAGAAAGTCACATGATGATTAGCCCATGCGAGCCCATCGATACCAGAGTAGACCTGCGACTGACCTGCACAGCGTGCAGGGCGTGCTGCAGTGTCCGCGCGTCCGTCAGCTCGCCTCTCAGACCGACCGCAGCCTGGTTCTGCTCCTGCGTGGTCAGCCACGAATCCAAGGAGCCCGCCTCATCCTGGTACTGCTGGTACTGGTCCAGGACCCGAGCGAGCCGGATGCCGAGATCGGAAGACTGTGGGGCAGAGGGGGGCAGGGAGGGGAGGAGTCACACCGTAACCACGGGAACACTATCCCACATTCGGATTCTGCTACCAGGGCCCCAAATTATAGCCTGGAATGTGAGGAGACACAATGATCTACATGTAAAATGTGAGGAAGCCCTGCAGAACAGTACAGTTTGGCCCATTTCTCACTTGCTTCCCTTCTCCAGCACATATTCTGCTGACCTCTATTTGGGCTGAACCTGCCCCGCCCCCTTAACACTCTGCTGCCCAGCCCTGAGCGTGGCCCACCTTGCTGTGCAGGGCCGTGTAGCGGTGCGTGGCGTCCTGCATGCGCTCGCTGACTAGCTGCTGCGTCTGCTCCAGCGCCGGCTCTGCCACCCCCACCCTTTCCCGGGCTCCCTGCACGGAGTCCAGGACCTTCTGGCCCGAGATGGAGACGAAGCGCAGATCCGCCTTGTGGCAGATCACGTCCTCGGACAGCTGCAGGGGACGCAGGAGGAAGATGGTCATGTGTTGGGGGGAGAGACAGTCACATGGAGAGGGGATGATAGTCACACGGGGGAGGGTAAGAGCCCCGTGGGGGGAAGACAGTCACAGAAGGGCATCCACATCATATCAAACGTGTGTGTGTGTGTGTGTGTGTGTGTGTGTGTGTGTAGCTTGGTGGGAGTTCAGAAAGTCTTATGCTTTTAAAAATTCTGTGACTGGCTGGCACTCGCCCAGCTCTGAGTTCAGGTTTAAGGGGCTGACTGGTGGTGACCCTGACCCCATGCCGCCTGACACGGTGTGTGTGCGTGTGCATGACGCCACCTTCTTGTGCTCCTCCAGTCGGCGGCCCAGCTCCTGGGGGTTGGACTCGCCCTCCCCAAGGGCCTGTAGGTCCCGCTCGCTGGTCTCCAGCCAGCTAGCCAGCTGCCCATGCTCCTGCAGGAACTTGGTGAGCTCGTCCCCCAGCGCCTCGCCGCGCCGCAGCCGCTCCTGGCAGCTGCGCAGCTGCTCCTGATGCTGCGCCTGTAGCCGTTCCAGGGCTGTGCGCAGGCGCTGCTTCTCCTCCGGAGGCACGCTGGAGTCTGGCTGCTCCAGCAGCGCATGCACCGACTGCGACACTGTCAGCAGCTGCTCCTGCTGCGTCTGCAGACCCCTCAGCTCGGCCTGCGGGACAAGGCGGGTGGGCATCAGGTCACGAATTAAATTCCCAAGACCGGTGAGGAATGACGGCTTCGGGAATAACCAGCTTGGCAGGAAGTCAGGCTGTCTAAGTAGAGCTCTGTGGATCTTTATTTCAATCTTGACTAACCTGGAGCGTGTCATGGTGACAATGTAAGGCGCTCTCTGGTTGCATGGAGGACAGGCCATCAGTCTGTGTTACGCCCCCTGTGGTCTGCATAGGGCTGGTCGCAGATGACAGCTCTTCTAGGAGGGCGCTGATCTTCCCATGGGTCACCTGCAGTTTCTCAACTGCCTTCTCCTACAATGAAGGGTGAGAGATAGGGAAACCATAGCAGAAGAACGAGGAGGAACAGCACACTGTGGCCACAAGAAAGCATGAGGGAATCTTCTCACCCTCTGGGTGTGCTGCTGGACAGCAGTGCTGATGGCAGAGTCCAGCTGGACCAGGGACGACTGGGCAGATTGGGTCAGCGAGCCGTACTGCTCTCGCACCTGGCCCAGCATCTGCTGCAAGTTGGCCTTCTCCTCTGGACTCAAGCTCTCACCCCTCTCTGCCAGAAACTCCTCCACTCCACGCACAGTCTCTGAGACTCTGTCTCCTTGGGCCTGCAGGTCACGCTGCACTCCCTGTAAGGGACGGCGGGCGGAGGGGGGGACAGGCAGCAGTCAATGGCTTCTGCTACTCAAGCACATCATTTCTCACTAAAATAACCCTATTAGAACCCCCACCTTCAGCTCCTTCTGTTTCTTCTCCAGCGCACCAATGCTGCCAGGCTCCGCCCCAACCATCTGATTGGCTAGAGCACCAGTGGCCCCGGCCAACCACATAGCCAGGCCTTTCAACTTCTCAGAACATTCTGCCTTCTGCTGCTGCACGACCTGTCAATCCCCATGAGAGAAAGGAAAGTGGCGGAGAAACAGAGATTCAGTGAAAATCACACATGAAACACACACAAACCAACCATATGATCATCATTCCCTCATCAGACCACCTTCACCTTTAAAACCTTTAGTGAAGCATTCTATGATGGTTACACCTTATTGGACAGTCAGCACACACCTGACTGCCACCTCTCCTGCTCATTGGACAATGCCACACACACCAAACACACTCCAACTCTGTATTCTCTCTGGCTCTTTCATCGACCCAGAAAATCAGTCCATCTCGTAAAGCGCATAAGCATGGCTGAGCATCTCCCAAAGCTGTAACGGATGTGAACGAGCGGCCAGGTTTTGAGCAGGATGTGTCCAGAGTTACCACATACGAGACAGGCAGGCAGACGGACATCACTGACCAGTCAGCAAGCGACGTGGAAGTCAAACACACATGAAAATCACGAAGGGCTTTTTGCATTCTAACCCAAAATTCATGTCTTTTCATCTTTTGCATATAACAAGATGAAAAGAAATGCAGGTTGTGCAATTATAAACTTAATCTCTGTCAGTGTTTTTAAATGTTGTTTTTTATTTCCCTGGTGGCACAAGCGCATCTCTTCAGTGGCAATCTGTAAGAGCAAGGCAGACATGTTAATACAAACACGTGTTACACAGACATGCATGCCCGGTGGGCACAGTGGCTGGTAGTAACCAGGACAGCAAGTGCTGTCCGGTGGGTCAGTCGTCATGGCAGCAGAAACAGCGGGTTTTGCAGGTGATACAAAAAAACCACACTGTGCTCTACAGCGCCATCTTTTGGCCGTACAGGCAGCAAGACCCCACGGCATCCGCAAACCTCTCTCTCCCTGGCTCGCTGCCTCTCCCTCTCTTGCTCCCACTCTGCACGTTCTCGTTCTCTTTCAGTTTCCGATTCCCGTTCCTGCTGGGCGACCAGGGCGTCGGCTCGGGCGTGGACATGACCCACAGCTTGGTGGAAGGACCCCTGCAGACACTGTAGCTGCCCGAGGATGTGCCTGCTCTGTTCAGGTGGCAGGTCACGGGCATGCTCAGAGACAAACATCTGGACGTCCAGCGCCACAGAGCTGATGTCTGCAGAGCGGCCAGAGAGCAGCTGCTGGAGCTCCTGTTGAAGGTGGTGCAGTCTGTCACGGACCTGAAGTACCTCAGAAGTGACCATCAGAAGCTTCACATTTGCAATAAAAAATGTCTTTATGGAGTGGCCACTTTTGGAGCCAAAAGACTGTCAATGTGCTCTATCAAATGCTCATTTACAAGATTACTGACATTTACAAGATTACTGCTTTAGTTATGCTGGATATTTAGCAATTCAGTTAAGATTCCTATTGCAGTGTAGTGTCACAGATTTGTCTGTAAACTTCATCCATAAATATCCAACCGTAGTCCCCAGTGGCCAATTAACAGCCTAGAATGAAGTCGCACATCGACAGAGTCCCACCTTGCACTGCTGCAGTTCCTGTGCAAGCTGAGCAGGGGCGCCGTCTGCTCCATCAGTTTGCTCATACGTCTCTAACCTGTTTGACTCCAGCCAACGCTGGAGGGCGTCCATCCTGGTGGTCAGGGCCTGCAGCTGACCACTTATTGCCCCCTGTGGGAAAAACGAGGCAGTACAGCTATAGATTCAGGAACACTCACAGCTATGGCTCAGCAGCAAGAGGAAGGCACAAAGCATTAGCAGATCTACATTCAAAATAAACAAGCATGTTTCTTTAAACCTGGCGCAGTTCTGCAACTTTTTGTAAATTAGTTCTGAGGTCTATATATTTACACATGTATAACTTGACTGGGTTGCAGTCGAGCATAAGACCAAAAGAAAAAATGACAAGTGTAACTGCATTTATTTTAAGGATTAAAACACAGACTGTTTGTCTGTACCTGGCGTGAATCTCTTTGTGCCTGAAGCGACTGCAGAGTGCTCTGTGACTCTTCTCTAGCAGCCGCGTATGCTCTGGCCAAGCTCCGCCCATCCTTCTCAAGGGCCAATAAAAGCTGGTGTGGGACTTCCGGGGGGCGGGACTCAAGCAAGCATCTCGAAGCCTCCACTTCCTGGGTTACCTCCATTTCTAAATCAGACAGCTCCACAACCAATGCCTGGTGCACACAGATATTTCACAGAAAGGGACATTATGCGTTATTTACTGCTATAGAAACACCCTGAACTATCTGATTAATGCCAATAAAGCATACCTCAAAATGAACATTATTTAAGTTATTTGGTTTTATGTTTTTTATGCAAAATGGCCGTCTTAACAAGACTGTAAAATATCCATACCAATAGTGTCAAGGATAATTCACTGCTGTTCTGTCATTAAGCATTGTGATATCATCACAGCTTGTGCTCTTACCTGGGTCTGCCTTATGATGGCATCAAGGTTGCTGAGGCTGTGGTCACCTGACTGCTGCTGCTGTTTTAGGCGAACCTCTATATGTCGCACCATGGAAAGTAGGGCCACGATTCGTTGGTCATGCTCCAGACACTCCTGACGAACCAATGAGGACTGAGGGAGACAAAAGCACTCGTTAAAAAACAGATTTATCATTCGTTTTTAAATTATTACATCAGTAAACTTCTCTTTTATACTAAACTCTGAGACCCTTTTGGAAACAGTTCCAGCACAAAGATTCTTAACTTTTGTTGCAGCACTAACAGATCTGTGCTGCTTGCTCTATATGCCTACTTTCTGCAAACGTTCTATGCAGGTCAGCCAGGGAAGCTCATACAGGTACTGGAGCTCTGTGACACAGTCTATGGTACACGAGCTCCATGCCCAGAAGAAGCGTACCTTGCTTATTTTAGGAGCGGCCACCTCGTTTCTCTCTGGGGACGTTACAGCCTCGCGCTCCAAGTCGCCCTCGTCAAGTTCTGCCTTCTCTCGGCTTTCTGCAATGTCAGCTTTTAAGGTCGCCTCCAGTTGGTCCAGTTCGGAGGATATCATGAGCTGGGAGGCCTCCACGCTCTGGCTGTCCCCGTGGTAATCGCTTTGGCTGTCATCTGGCTTTATTTCTGCATGGAGCGTCTGTGAATGATCTGTGTCATGTTCACCTGTGACGACTTCTTGCCCCACATGAATCAGACCTTCCAGATCTGCCCTGGGCCTGAGCGAACGTCCAGCAGGCGCGTCTTCGGAACCCTCCCCCAAGGCAACACTGTGTGCCTCAGGCTCGACTTCAGGGGGGCTCTCTCGCATGGCCCCCCTCGGCAGACTCACTGGAGGCCCTTCTCCACTCACTGCCACAGATATGGCAGGTCTCGGCTCCTCAGTATGGTCGCTTTCCTTTGGACTTCCTGTAGAGGTTAGCATCACGTTCTGCTCAGCATCACTCACTTTGCCCCTTCCTGTCAGCTCCTGCCCTTGGGTTGATAAATCCTGTGACAGCATGTCTAATGATATGGCCTTCAAGCCCTCTGAGCTGCTGGTGCTTTCTGCATACTGTTGCTCCTCTTTGCTTCCACTAACATCCTGGGCACCTCCCTCCATCTGGCCCTCCGTGGCCACAGTCTGTTCTTCTGACTGACTTGTGATGTCGGATTCGTTCTCCTGTGGCCACTTCTCACTGTCGCTGCCCACCGTGAGGCCGGCAGGGTCACCTGCCCTCCACGGTGCCCTGTGCAGTCCCTTCAGCTCCTCAGCAGCCTGCTTTTCACTCACCTCACGCTGGAATACCTTCCTCAAAATGCTCTCTCTTGCCTTCAACAGAAGTGCCTCTTTATCATTGTCTGCTGGCGCCACCTTCTGGATCATTTCAATCACACCTTGACATTCTCCCTGCAACTGTTGCCCTGTCTGAAGGTCCACTGTCTCCAGTCTGGTATCTGTCCTTACTGTGTACCCCAGTGTTTCCTTGGAAACAAAACCATCACCAGCTGTTTGGCATTCACTATGCTTTTGCACATTCAGGCCTCTGATCTCTTCCTGCTCTTCTCCTTCAAACCTACGAGTCACTTCATTCTGCCCTGCACTGCAAAGCTCCAGTGATCTAACAGTTGGCTCACTGGCTGGTTCTACAATCGTCTGACCTGTGATTTGGGCCAGGCCTTCCTCCCTTGACTCCTCCTCTGTCCGCTGTTGCATCATGCCTTTCCTGTCTGAAAGCTCCTTCTTTTCCAATTTTCTAAGTGATGTCTTGACTGATCTTTCGTCAGCTCTCTGACAGTCCTCAGCTTTAGTTGCTTCTTCATCCATCCTTCTACACTCCTTTTCACTTCCGTCCCTCCTACTCCCACTTTCCGATTCATCTAACGTGTGTGACATGGTCTCAAACTCTACAAAACTTGAATCAGCAATGGCTCCATCTTCAGGACTCCTGTTCCTGTAAACCTCTATCCTCTGTCCAACCTCTCCGTCTTCCTCCTTGTTGTCCACTATGGCACTTTGCTTACTTCCTTGCAGAGGAGCTTGTGTGGCATGTGTGGACCCTTCAGAGTCAGGGATCTGTTGATTCCCCAAATGTTCCTCATCTACCGAAGGATCCAAGGCCCACTGAGGCTGCGACATTATTATATTCATCTGATCATTTGCTTTTTCTCCCTCAGTTGTATCTCTGCTAAATAGAGTCACTGACCCACACTGGGGCCAAGTTACACTGTCTCTATTATTTCTAGATCCCTCCTGTTCCAGATGAGCACTAGCAGAACTGGAAGGTAATTCATTTTCAAGTGTCAAGTTGGACTGAGGTTCTGTCTCCCACTGTGCCTCTTGTAATGTTGTTTTCTCTACATTCATTTCAAACTGAGACAAACCTTCCATGGAATGTTTTCCTACCTTGTTATCCACTGACTTTTCTACTGTTAGCACCTCTCTGTGTGCAAAAGCAATTAAACTTTGGTCCTCTCCTTCACCTTCACATTCAGCCGGTTCATAGGTTGCAAGCAGTCTTGAGGGCTCATGCGTATCTGGTGTCATTTTCTCTGTCTGGGTTTTAGTGACCATTAATGGGTCATATCTGTTTTCGGTATTTGCTATATACTGATCAGGGGTTTCCTCAACCAGCCTTGTAAGTGTGCAGCTATGATCAGGTGACCCCGTTGTGGATGGAGAAGCAGTGATTCCATTAGTAGGGCTTAGTGATGGCTTTTGCTTTTCCTCTTCATAGTCTGTCTTCTCTAAAGCTTCCACTTTGTCCTGGATGTCTGAAGCTATATCACTGGTGATGAGCCCCGAGTCGATGCCCCCCTTCATACTAAAAACTTGATCTCCAGTGGCTGGGTTCAGCTCACCACCCATCTTGGTCTGCTTCTCTGCAACCAGCTTAGCCATTTCTTCTCCTACTAAGCCCCTACTAACAGCTTCTGCAAGGGAGACCCGCACGCCTGTCCTTATATCAACAATACCACCTGAGTCTGCCTGGCTCTGTAACAGTCTCAGTGCCGGCACTGGGTCAACCAGTCGCTCTTCCATTGCTTCATGTAGTGTCAGAATTTTGTTTGTACGCACGTCCCGGACACCACTGAAGGGCCGCACCTCAAGAAAGCGCCTGCCTGTCTCAATGTCAATTTTTCCTTGATTGACAAGCTCCAAGTAGGGCACGACACGAGCGCTTTGGGGATCAAGCATGCCTTGGGTCACCGTGGGTGAAGCCATCGCCGCTTCTGCCGTGACATCATCCAGAAATCCTCGAGACATGGCCTCAGTCAGTGTCAGTTTGCTCCCAGAGGCAGGATCGGGCACAGTCCCAGTGGAAGCCTGCAGAAGAGCTACCTTGGGATCCAGGCTAGGAAACCTGTGACATTCCCTCTCAAACTGCTTCAGCTCCTCAGCGATACTCTTGTCCACCAGGTCTCTCTGCAAGGCATCAGCCACCGACAGCCGAACCCCAGAGCCGTGGTGCACAATACCACCTTCAGCTACCTGCTGGAGAACAACCTGTCGCGCCACTTCCTGTGTCAGATGTTCCTTCTTCAAGGCTTGTTCCATGCCCACAGGCTGTCGGGTTTTGGGATCTACTATCCCATCCATCTGCAGCTGCAGTGAGACCTTAGTGAGGGCTACCTTAGGGTCTGAACTCTTTCCCCTACAGGATTTCTCCAGGGTAGTCAGTCCTTCCCTCTGACCCTCCTCAATCAGTCCCAGGTTTGAGGCCAGGGTGACAGACACCTTCTTACCCCGTCGCAAGTCCACCACACCCCCTGACACCACCTGAGCCTCCAAGAGCCGGGCTGCAGTATGAGGATCGAGCAACCCGGCCCGGGCAGCGTCCCGCAGCGAGCACAGCTGACCACGGTCCACATCTGCCACGCCGGCCAGCGTCTTCTCTGAGTTGAGCACACTCAGCATCAGGCTCTCGTCCAGCAGGCCCTCTTGTACCACGTCATCCACGCTTAGGACCTCACAGGCTCTTGCATCCAGGAATCCCCCAAAGAGCCCAGCCCGCTCCATCAGCCTGACCGCTGTGTGCCCTGGGAGCACGCCCCGGGCAACGGCTTCGTCCAGAAGCAGCCGCTCCCCACCCTCAGTCCTCAGGCCACCTTCCTGCAGCTCCCTCACTAGCCTCTCTAGTTCTGCATCCACCTTGTCTGGTTTTCCAAAGCTTTCCTCTAGCATGTGACTGTCAGTATCTCCCAAGTCCTGGTCTCTGCCATCACTGTCCTCTACAGCTTTCTGGGGACCTGGCTGGACCTGGCTGCCCTGCTCTATCACAGTTTCTCTTTGTGACTCTCTGACTCCCACTGTTTTGGTGTCCAGGGCTAGAAGAGCGGTCTTTAACACGTCAACTTCGTCCAGGCATTTCTCCTCCTGGAGATCTGCAGTTTGGATTTCCTGATAGGTGTCTTTATGGGCAGCCCAAGGGTCCACTTCTAGCATTTCTGGTCTCATGGCACTGTCTGAGTCCCCTTTCTCAAGAGGAGCAATCTCTGTCTTGGTGTGTGTGATACACTCTTCATGTCCCTGTATCTCATCATCCTCCACCAATCTGTCAAGGTCGTCACTCTGTCTTGCCTCTACTGGAACATCTTGATTCATCCTCACGTTTGTTTGCACACATTCTGTCCTGTCAGAGGGCTGAGATACGACCACTGTTGGGAGGTCGAATTCACTAGCAGAAAGACTGCTCACTGTCGTTATGGCATCAGAATGTAGTTCCAGATCTTTTTTCATGTCTGGGATATCACCCTGGAAATCTTCTATGAGAGAGGCCATATTGCACCTGATCACATCTTTATCTACCAAGGTAAGTCTGGTCCAGTCTGAATGGGACTTTACCTGCTCCTTTGTCTCCAAGTCCACTGGTGTAAAGGACCTGCATTCCGTAGAAGGAGATATCCCCCCTTCAAACTTGACTGTTCTTATACTCGTATCTTCTTCTTCTTTCTGAACACTCCTCATCATCATCATTTCTACTTCATTCACACTCATTGTTTTATCCTTTTTTATTTTGTTTAGCTTTGAAGCTACATCACCAGAGTTAACTTGGTCCTGAGTGTTTGACAGTTCTATACTGTACGTCTCAGTCTGTGCTGCTAGGCCAGGATCTTTCACCTCATCCACAGAGAGCTGCTTTTCCAGGGAAACCAATCTGTCATATTCCTCAGCTTTAAGGGTAATGTGTTTTTTGACAGTACATTCCTCCTCAATACCCAAGATGTCTGTGCTGATCTGTTCTTGCATGTCAGTCATGGAATGCTTAACGCCCAGTTGCTCTTTAGTCTGAAGTTCAACTGCCAAATTGCTTTTTGATTCTGCTTCTTGGTTTTCCCCGACATCTGATGACAACCTAGTGGCAATGGCAAGTTCTGCTAGCTCTGGCTCCAACAGCACCAAGCGTTCACCAGAGTGAGCGTCAACATAGCTGTGGGTCATGAGGTGGAAGAGCAGGCGATGTTGGGCCTGTTCTCCTGGACCTGCCTGTTCCAGAAAAGTTGGATCAAACTTGAGGTCCTTGGGGGATGCAGGGGGTGAACAGGAGGATGGAGATGAGGAGGTAGAACCCCAGCTCAGGCGGTTGAGAGTAGGAGATCCAGAATTTGTTATACTGGGAAGCAGATCAGGGATCTGAGTCTCTTGCAAGATCTCAACCACGCTAGGTGTCAGAGCCTCGTTCGCCTGATCAAGGGGCACCACACGGCTAGTTTCAGGAAGGTAGAGAGCTCTGATAGCATGCCGCTTGCTCAGGATGGACCTAGATAACGCTCCTGGGATCATGCCTTGCTGTAAAGCCTCGGATAAAGGCAAGAGCTCACCGGATTCAGGCCACAAAAGGCCCACGAAAGCCCAGAGGGACTCCAGTACCAGCAAGGCCATCCGGGGGGCAAGTAGGTTTCTCTCAACAGCCTCGTCAATGCCAAGGCGCTCCCCGGTAACTGGATCTAACAGTCCACCTGCTCGTAGCTGTCGGGTCAGTATCGCACATGCAAGATCCTGATCCATCAAACCGTGTCGGACGGCTTCGTTGACCGTCAGGCGGTGTCCGGAGCGTGGGTCTGTGATTCCTCCCGCAAACAGCTGGGCCTCCAACAGCCGTATGGTCACCTGACGATCGATCAGGCCTTCCTGCACCGCACGGAAGATCCCCACCCTCCTGCCAGAACGCAGGCACACGGTGCCCCCTGGCTGCTGGTTAACAGGCAGTAGGTGCAGCCCAGTCTCCGGGTCCGTGACACAGCGCTGGTTAAGCTCAGAAAGGCTGAGCTTCTCCGCCGTGTTGGGGTCGATCAGTTCCCGTCGCTGTGAACGCTCCAGCAGCTTGCCATGGATGTGGGCCGGGAGTAGGCCTCTGTCTGCTGCTGCCTCCAGGCCCAGCTGTTCCCCCTTGGATGACTCCTTCACTCCACCGAAACTCAGCTGGAGCTCCAGAATCCGCAGTCCCACTTCCTCACGGATGAGCCCTTCCTCCATTGCAGCAGCAACTGGGACTATCGGGCCTTTTCTTAGCTCCGATTTGTCCACGAGGTGCAGGACCGCCTCCAATTCTGACAACGATTGGACAGTAGTGCTGTTAATCAGGCCTTCAGTCAATCCCTCCTGTAGAGAGAGGCTTTCTTGGGAGTCGGGCATGATTAGGCCACCCATCACAAGCTGGGCTTCCAGCAGGGTGCGGCAGGTATCCTGGTCTATGAGGCCACGCTGCGCTGCCTCAAACACTGGGAAGGTTTCCACTGTGGCCAGGTCAATCACTCCAGCTATGGCGACTAGGCTCTGCAGAGAGAGACGAAGAGCTTACCATAAAGGCACAGTTGGCAACACTAGAACATTTCTGAATACCGTGTCATCGGGCAAGCTACGGATCTGTTACTATAAGAAACAGAAAGAGGAGAAAACAAAACTGAAAGTGCAGAATCTAAAGAATCAGCTACTTATTATTTACATTTCAAAGATTACTCATAAGACATAAGGCTTGTGTTATATCGTATTAAATTTATTAGGAGTCCAAAATGGGAACTCTTTTATTTGAGATTAGGGAGATGCTGTTAGACCTTTATTCCCCACATCGCTTGAATGGACACTACTGTACCTACCTTCAGTAAAATAACAGAGCGCTAAGCATGCAGCGCAGCAGACTACACTGAGAACCCCAAAATGGGGGAAGGAGGAAAACAACAAAGAAAGAAGGAAAGGACAGTGAGAGAGAATGCAAGCGTCACTTACCGTACGGGAGGATGCAGGACGCGTACGCACACAGGCCGAGGCACGGAAAGGCGGCAAGCTCGAGGTTAGCATCCAGCATGCCACAGCTTCTGAGGCTCACTGACCCTGCCCTGACGCTACACTGCCCCGCCAGGCCAGAGGACTCAGTGACCGGTCCATGAGCCAGCTGAGCGAGGCTGCCGGGCCTATTGACTCGAGGGCTCACACTCAGGACTGAGGGATCTACAGGTGACATACAGGTCACCTTGCCTGTCTGCTACAGGTGAACCATCTCTGCCTGCGGAAATCTGACTCCCTGCGTGTCTCTGTCTATCCCTGGGACTCAGAAGATGGGGGTCGTCGTTTTGTTCCTGGCAGCTGTTAGTGATTTTGAAGCAAAATGCTGGTTAATTTCCACACAGTATTACTGTATTAAAAGACAGAGAGATTGTTCCGCATTCGAGAGCGCACACATGGACACGCACACTCACACACGCATACTCGCAGCACAACGGTGACCTGGACACACCATGCTCAAACCGTGAGGTGAGGATTTGCACAGCTGGCCTCCAGTGCTCAGGCTACCCGTACCAGTTCTGACCCGATTTCTTTGACCCAGATCTGCTCGGATTCACGGCTTTGTGCGTGCATGTGCTCGGACCTCGCAGGCGCACATAGGATCACAGAGGCCCCTACACCTACATGTACACACATACAAGCTTCCCCCGTTTGGCGATACCTTGGGAATGTTTCACACAATGAAGGGGACTGTGTGTCTGTGACTGGGGGAGGGTCAAAATAAACTACAAATGGATGAGTATGGAACACCTGGAAAATGGAGACATGGGGGGTAAAGCTGTCCCAACAGGTTTAAACCCCCCCCCATTCCCATTTTCTACATCAGTCTTTCCCAAGCTGGTCCTTGGGGTCCACGTTTTTGCTCCCTCACAAAAATGTGGACTGTCTGTGGGTCCACGAGGACCAGATTGGGAAACACTGTTGCACTGTGCACTGCACTGCAGGTTCCAGTGACTGTGAAATTCACATCACTGAAATCAGACAACACTGGTAACGTTGATCTACCACACGGGGTGCCAGTGGACAACAGTTATTCAAACATGGATGATCATGATGATGATGAAAATGGCGGTGAGAAGGGGTGAGATGGCGACGCGCGTGCTGTTGGCAGCCACTGGGGGGCGCACTCCATGCTATTAAGAGAGTCAGTTAAAAATCGTGCTCTTGTCGCACATGTGCTTCTTTGTTTGTTGGATGGTGAGAGTGTCAGATGGGGTCAGACGTGTGGTACACGGCATGCAGCGCTACAGACACGCGCACAGACACGCGCAAACACTGGGGGGGGGGCGACACACCTGGCCTGCAGGCGTGCAGTGACACAGCTTCGACTCAGGAGGACAGACATGGACAGCAGCGCGTTTTTTTTAAAGAAAAAAAAGCACCCTACTTCTTCAGTTGCTCAGTAAACCACAGGGGAGCGTCCAACCTAGTTTAGGCTCCTTATGAACCACTCCCCTGCCTCCTGCCACCTCCCCATCTCTCCCCCTGTTTCTCTACCTTGTGCTCTTCCTCTTTGGCCAGATGTTGCTGCAGCTGCTGCTGCTGAGTGGCGGCACTCTGGCATAACTGGTTGTAGGTGTCCTTCAGCTCATCCAGCTGGGCCATCACATGGGCACGCTCCTCCTCTGACAGCCTGGGGGTGGGGCAGGGACGCACAGTCATGGGTGCAATGTCATTGCCGGTGGGTTGGGGGGAACCTCTCCTTTGACCATGTATGTGTGTCTGTGTCTATCTGGCGTCCCGGGACTCACTTGCTGGCCTGCCTGGAGAGTAGGAAGACCTCTGTGCTCCTGATGGCTTCTGCCACCTCCTCCTTCCTGGCAGCGAGCTGCTCACTAATGGCCTGCAGGGGGCGGTTTGACAGGAAGGACACAGCAGTCAGCAAAGTACGTGAAGCAGACACAGAATGGGCTGTTCTGCTGCTTCCACCTCTAACCCTCACAGCTCCACATCCGCGCCTCCACCCCCGGCTCCTCCATCCCCTGTACCTCCACCCCTCCCCGGCCAGACACACCTGCTGAGCGGCCAGTGACGACACTGCAGATCCAGGCTCTCCGGCCTTCGGGCCCCCGATGGCCCCTGAGCGCTCCTGAAGGCCCTTCGTCCAGCAGAGCAGGTCAGCCACCTGGCCCACCCTGGCCTGTCTCTCTTCCTCTACCTCTTTCTACACAGAAAGGTGAAGAATATACTGATATAAAGAAAAGAGAGAGACAAAAAGGAGACAGACGCAGAGACGGGGACAGGGAGGAGGTGCCCGGTGTGGAGGGCCAGACTGACCTCCTCCTCTTCCAGCCTCCGCAGCGCATCGCTGATGTACTTCACGTGCTGCGTGGTCAGCGTCACCAGGGCCGTGTACCGCGTGCGTAGGTCCATGAACTGGGGCAGAGAGAGACACGACAGAGTGTGAGCACATGCACACTGTCCCAACACGAGCAGAGTGAGCTCTGCTTTGTGCAAGCTGTCCCTCCGACCCAACCCCACCTCAACACTGTCATACCTCCTGTGTGATGGCGTCTGATGAAGAATGCATCCTCCTCCTCTTCACCGGCGACTTCTGGTTGGATTCCACAAAGGCTCTGTAGGTCATCAGCTGCAGCTCATAGTCCTACCAGCATGAAGAGACATTAGGCACGAGGCATGCGGCGTCGCATAAAGACGGGCACCGCCCGCAGCTTGGATGCCCGGGCCCGCGGCCCTACCTTCACTGCGGTGCTGTACTGCTTGGAGTGCGTCTGACACTCATCCAGCTTCACCTGGTTCTGTTCAATTTCAGCAACAAGGGCCTGCAAGGTCAGGTGAGAAATGAACACCTCGCAAAGCCAAACTCCTCGGTCACAAAGCCTCCACTGACCTCCTTTTCCTTACAGCCATAGAAAGCGTTATCAGCTACCCTAGATGCTGCATCAATGTTTCCCAATGCGGTCTTTGGGGACCTGTAGACAATCTACATTTTTGCTCCCTCCCAGCTCCCAGAGCAATAACATGGACTGTCTGGCAGGGAGCTGGGAGGGAGCAAAAACATGGACTTTCTGTGGGTCTCTGCGGACTGGGTTGGAAGACACTGTCCTAGACCATAAACCCAGCTGAACTGCAACTCGACCACCCAGTACCTTCACACTAGAACCGCCATTTCCCATGCCAAAGAACGTGGAACTCCTTTTACTGCCAAATGAGACGTACTTCGGCGCCTGCAACCCTTTTGGTTGCACTCATGTTAACAGCAGTGAATCTAACAGAATCAACCAAAAAGCCATAATGTTCCTAATAGACTGGCTGCTCTGTCCTGAAATCGTAAAGCTGAAAAGTTTTCAAACAGTATGTATTTTATAAGGTGATAAATCGACATAGTTTATCGGTGATACCATGTTACTGCTTTAAAACAACTGTGTAATGTTATTTTTAGACATCAACCCAGATGAAACTTTTTTTTTTTTAAATGTACAATTTATATAAAATTAACTGTAAAATACAGTTTTTGCGTGAAGCGGCTTGTCATTCCTTTTTCATTGTTACTCTGACAAACATAAAATGAATAGCTGAGTCCCTTTTAATATCTTTTCAAAATATTAAGACCACCCATACGCAACTGTAATTTTGCTATTTATGTTAAAGCAAGGGCTTTATTTTATTACCAGTGTGGGATTAAGATTAACTTCACAAAATTAATCTATTGAAACCAATACTGAAATCAATGAGCACAAAACCACATGGCATAAACACGGGTGTATTATGGGTTTTACTGGTTTTTTGGGCGGCTGTGAGGCTTTCTGACGATCCCATTGTTTCCTTGATGGGTCATTAGCAAGAGAAAAGGTGTGATATGGTGAAGTATGTCACTGCCGGTTGGCTTAGAGGAGCTCAAGAATACGCTAGCGGTTCTAGTGTTAAACCTCCTTATCTCCATTTCTCCTTCCTTCTCCTGCATTTGCATGTCCTCCTGACTCAGGTTCCTCCTCTACCCGCCCTTTTCTGCTCCTGCCTCCCTCCCGTCACGCACCGTTTGCTGGGCCAGCTGCTCTGAGAGCACCCTGCTGTCCGTCTGTCCGGCCTGCGTGTTCTCCTGCCTCTCTGTAGTCTCCTCGATCCAGTGGATCAGCGCCGAGTGACCCTGCCGGTACTGCTGCAGAACAGAACCGAGCATCTCCAGGTCCACTTGCCTGAAACGCAAGCACACATGGAAGATAAACTGTAAGCTGTAGCCAGGTATCTGATACCAGAACCGATGAATGTTTTTGTGTCATGTTCCACCTCACTAGCGCCCCCCTAGGGTCCATTCCGTTGAATACTCACCGGGTCTCGATCTGTCTGCGTACACCAGTCCACCTGTCAGCCAGCTGGGCCGCCCTTTCCTGGTACCTCTCCAGCTCGGGGCTGTGTTCCGGATGCAGCTGCCGGAACTGGGCCGCAGCTTCCTGGGCTCGGCGGACCTCGTCGGCGAGGGCCTGGAAGACCGCCTCGTGCTGGCCCAGTTCAGACTGCCACCGCTGAGGGGGGAGGGGGGCGGAGGAGTCAAGCATGTGACTGAGCATCAGTCAGTCCGTGCATCAGCACTCTGGGGTCTCTGCCGGCTAACATATAATATGTGAGGGTCGGCTGCTCTCTCACCGCCAGCTGGTCCCGTAGGGCCTGGATGGCGCTGATGTCAGCCGGGACCATGTCCTCCTCACTCAGCCGGCTCTCATACTTCTTCACCAGGCTCTCGGCGGCCTGCGAGCTCCGCATGAGCACGTCCACCGTCTTCAGCCTGAGGGATGAAGGCCACGTGAGGAGAGGTGAGGATGGGCGCGGACCCAACATGCGGGGCCAAGGTATTACCAACACACACAACACTAACCGGGATGCGACTGTGTGTGATGAGATTGTGTGCGTGTGTATGTCACTGTGTGACTGTCTGTCTGTATGTCTGTTTGTGCGTGCCTGTGTGTGCATAGTTGTCTGCACGTGTGTGAGTGTGTCTGTGTGCGTGTGACAGTGTGTGTGTGCGTGTGACTGAGCGAATGTGTGAGTGAGACTGTGGGTGTGAGTGTGTGTAGGTGTTTGTGTGCGTGTGACTGTGTATGTTTCTGTGTGTATGTGACTGAGTTTGTGTCTGTGTGTGTGTGTGTGTGTGTGACTGTGTCTGTGTGTGATTGATCGTGCATGTGAGGCTGTGTGGGCTCCCTGGCCGCCCCCTCACTTGTGCAGGTAGACGGAGGAGAGCGCATGCACCCGGTCCATCTGCTCCACAGTGAGGCCCAACTGGGTGCGCAGCGCCGGCACGCTGGAGGAGCTCGGCTTCTCCTGGAAGAACCCGAGGCATCGGCGGGACACGTCGCCCAGGTCCGAGCGGAGGCCGCCCAGGTCCTGCTGCAGCCGCTGTCACGGGGGGGGAGGGAGGGGCGTTAAGACCGCAGGGCCGAGTATCGCAGATCTGCAGCCGTACAACGATGCTGCATTTTCCTCACCAAAGTCACTCCTATGCCCCTTATTTTACATGGTGGCTGCGCTCCGCATGTCGGCAGAAAGGAGCCACCAGTCGCACCCATAGCAGGTTCCCAGTTTGCTGCTAAATAAGGACGCTGAGAAACACTGGCACTAATCTCGCTACTCGCCGCAAACGCAGCTTAAGCAGAGGGATCCCCCCCAGCCAGGGTGAAATGGGAGCCGGCTCCCAGAGCCCACCCCCCCACACACTAACCTCTGCCTCCGCAATGTGAATGGCATTGTCAGCCGCGTCACTGCTGGCGCTGCCGGGGGGCGGGGCCTGTATGCCCTTCTTCAGCCGCTGCTCCGCCCCCTCCAGGTGCCGCTTGATGTTGTCCAGCTCTAACAGGTAGGCGCGAGACACGGACTCGTCCTTCTCCACTGTCGGGGAAAATGACCATTTATTAAAATAAGAAACAGAAGCAGAAAGCATTAGAGTAACAGGATTACTCAATAATGTGATGAAGGCCTTTTGGGCCTCGCCGGCTTTGACGTACTTCAGGTAGCACAAAATTAGATAAATTAGATAAATTAGACAAAAAGAGAGAGGAGACAACAAGAGGATGATGGGATACCGGTCTCCATGGAGATCAGCAGAGCCTGGCAGTGGGCGCGGCTGTTCTCCGCCTCCTTCTCCAGGTCCCAGCGCTCCGCGGGGGTGAACAGGGGGCTCTCCCGGCTGTCCGCCAGGAAGTCGGACAGGTGAGACTCCAGGTGGTCGAGAGCCTGCCGCCTGTCATCTGCTGACTGGGAGCGCACCTGTGCAAGAGGACTGGGCGGGTCAGCCGTGACTGGGAGGGCGCACGTATCAGACACACTATGCCAGGGACGGAGGTAGAGAGATGGACAGGCAGGGAGAGGCGGCGAGAGGCGCTGGGCAACGGCACCAGCTCTCACCGTGTCCAAGTTCCATGAAGAGATGGCCCTGATGTCCTTCTGCAGGTAGTGCCAGGACACCACCGCCTTCATGTTGACATGCAGCTGGTGCCAGAGGGCCATCACATTCTGGTAGAGCTGCTCGGTCCTGCATGCGCAGCACGTGATGGTCAGAGCGCGCGCAGCTTCAGGGCACTGCACGCGTGCGCGAGTCGCTATGACGACCATGTGAATGAGCGAGAGGTGCGGGTGTGGTTTGGGGGTGCACACGCGTGTGGCCCACCTGCTGGCTATCTCGATGGCCTCTTTGTTCGGCGGCGGGACGCTGAAGCAGACGGAGGGCACCATGGCCTCGTTGCCATTGGGGCTGATGACCTTCCACTTGGTGCGCTGGGAGTTATCCTCCAGCACGCATTCCTCTCCCTTGGAGATGGTGATCTGGGAAACGGGGGAATGGGGAAGCGGGGTAGCGGAGAGAGACAGGGAGAGAGGGTGAGACGAGGAGACAGAGAGAGCAGTGAGAGAGAGCAGGCCAGATAGGAAAAGGCATGAGAGGGACAGGAGAAATAAAGCAACAGTGTGGATTAGCATTAAGACAAAGGGAAATGAGCTGGCAGCAGACTGCTGCTGGGGTGCCCTGGCCTGGCCCTCGCTGGGGGGGGGAGTGAGGGGGGCTTTCTAGCGCCTAACGTCACAGGCTGTCACGTGGGGGCAGGGGCAGCTAGGCCAGGAACCGCCAACACAAACCTGCAGCTGCAAAAAGGGGCCCACTGTCACCATCCTCATTTGGACAAGCGATTATATTTAAGTCAGGTGGAATCCCGGCATTACACAGGAAGGATACGAACAAATCAACAGGAATGAAGCTCAGCACAGCTGCCAAGGGGGGGGGAGGGGGGGCCTTGGGCACGGTGCAGTAAATGTGCAGCAGCGTGTGGGGCAGAATTACTGTGTCCTTACCTCCCTCTCAGACAGAGCCAAGCCAGACAAACACGCCACGTAAGCAAGGCCACCCTTGGCTATCAATCCGGCTGCCGTCTAATCGGACCGAGTCTCAGAACCTCAGGCACTCCTCTACCACCAACAGCACGAGTTACAGCTTAGATCCACTGCTAATTAACCATTAAATATCCAATTTTTTAAGAACATCTATATAGAACATGTTAGGGCTGAAAGGTAGTGACTCCAGATCACGAGACATACTGCTCGCTTTGGATAATGTTGTAATATATTGGAACTGGAAGCAATTCCATAACCAGGAAACCAACGGACCCCACAAACCACAAATACAGTACTAATTAAAACACCAATTAACTGCAAACCATGTGGGATTGTGGCTCATAAGGAGCAGGCTGCCTATGCTGTTAGACGCTGTCCGGCCCACCAGCCTCATTTCTGCCATGTGGTGGAGGAATTCAACCATTCAACAGCTACACTGAATCAGGCGTGATAGCGGTGCCCCCTAGCTGCTACCCGAGAGTGTGCAGTCCCTCCCTGACTGTTAGCCTGAGTTCTTCAAGGTTAAGAAATGCAGAGGTGAGAGCAGTCGAGAGCTCGATACCTGAGCATCGGCCTTGCCAACCCGCATGTAGACAGACAAGAAGGAGAAGGAGGAGGAGGAGGAAGAGAAGAAGGAGAAAGCAGGGGAAAAAGAAGGGGAAGATTAGGGAAGGAGGGGAGGGAGAGAGAGATTACTTTTGGGCATTGTTAGAGAGCTCGCTTAGTTAAACAGATTCATTTTAATAGGGTGACACAGCATGAGAAGGCCCACAGCCACAGAGGGTGGGCATCGGGGGGGTGAAAGGGGTGGGGGAGGGTGATGGGAGTGACAGTGTTTGGGTGTGAGGGGTGACCGGCAGAATGATGCTCAGCTCTGAACACCCTGTGTGGAAAAACCAAAGGCAGCACTACTGGTGTCTCAACCAGTAGGTTGTGTGGTCTCGACCACAATATTGTCTCAAGTTATTTAAAAAAAAAATAATAATACAGTTTAGGGTTCCTTCATCTCAGCGGCACTCACTGCTTTCAATAAAGAACCCAGAACTGAACTGAGATCTCATCGGCAGGTAATAGCTATAAAACCCAAGATGGCCACGTCGGTCGTAGCCTTGAGAAAAGGTACAGGGAGTATGGAGAAACCACAAGCCTAATGTAGAAAGGAGAATCCAATGAATCAGGAAGACAGACAGGCCAATGTAGGTCCAGATCAATAGGAAATTCAATGTGTCTAAAGGGAGATCCTCCGCTGCATGAAAAGGCAGAGAGTAAAGCCAGAGCCTACAATGCTTCACATAAAAACATCTTCTCAGCAAAAGAAAAGGAAAAATCGTTACTTCACTTAAAATAGACAGAGCCTCACACCCGGGCCAGCAGCCCAGGGGGATTCTGGGAGACATTTGCCTGAGACTCCTGGTGTCATGGAATCAGCTATGGGCTGAACTGCTGATGCAAGGCAGGTGTTACAAACGTATAATTCAGGAGTCAAAAACCTGCTTAACGGGGGGCTTAACTGCACAGTTTCCCGCCACCTGGATGCAAGGCTTTCATTAACCTTGATTTGCCTGCCGGCTCACAGGAACTCACAAATGAAATGATTCACCAAAGCAGTGTGTCAATGTGATAAATTCACACACTACAAAGCAGAGAACAGGCCGCTGCATCCTTCAAGAAAATGACACACTGCCTACTTCTGTTTTATGCTTTCGGACTTATAAGAACGTACATTAGAGGGGTGGAGGGTTCGATGGCCCATGTGTGACGCTTAGCAGTGCATGATGTGCTGGGGTGAGACTGCCAACATTCAAGGTTGGTTCTGGGGGGCAGGGCTATGAGATGGTGGGTGGGGTCATGAGGCAGTGGGAGGTGCATGAGGCTTGGTGGTGACGGGCATGGCATACCTCAATCTGCCGGTAGTCGCAGATGGCGCGGATGGGCGTGGCTGTGGTGGGCAGGGTGCTGTCGCCACCCCGTGGCCGCAACTGCACCACCGTTTTCGCCCGGCCTACCAAGCTGGCCACAGTGCTGCGATACTCAATCAGCTGCTCCTTCTCTTCCTGTCAATCAAAAAAAGGACAAATCAGATGAGCAGACAGAGAGGCGGACATTACTCCCATCCACGAATCACAGACTTCCTTCTGTCCTACTGGGGTGACATAAATGTCACAGCACTCACTGATGCATCGCGCCAGTCCCTGGATTAGAAATCTGCTACCAGCCCATAATCCCCACTATGGCTCTCCCCACAGCTCAGGGTGCAGCAGCTCACTCACAAATCTATCTAGGCCCAATCTGAGTTCTGGGTTTAAAGTTTGGCATTTTCAGGTGGTACAGTAAAGAAAAAGAAAACAGAGAATAGTAGGAAATGAACAAAAACATGCCAAATGCCAAGAAAGCAAGCCAGCGAAGAAGCAGATATTTAACATGTAGATCCTATAGAAAATACTAAGACTGCTGTGGGACCGGCCAGTACTCTGCGTGACCTCTGACCCCGGCCAGGACCGTGCTGGTACTGCTGGTAGCAGTGACCCACACCATCAGGCACTCTGTCAGGGTAACACACACAGCCACGCCTCACACAGGGAGCTACACGCTCACACATACAGAACACCAGCACATCATCAAAATGTCTGACAGATTAAATCAAGTTTATACCTATAAAGGGACCCCGCCCTGTATTTACTCACTATCACCTTCCTATCTGCCTGTAATGTGCGGACCTGCACTCTTCCTGTGACGCCGCTGACCGGCTCTTCCATATGCCCTGGGCAGGAATGCCTGCTGTTTCTGGCCTGCTCCGTGCCACCCACTCCCAGCATGCCATCTGCCGCATGTCAGGTGACCACGGCGGCCGCCAAAGGGGGCGTGGACACGCCACGTGCTCCTCCCCGAGTCACTGATACGCCTCTGCCTGACCTGAACACTATCTGCCAGAGTGACGTCTTAGCAACACAGCCGGCGCCAGCTGGCTAAAGAGAACCACCTCTGATGCAGCCAGTGATTGGTGAGAAGTGAGAAAGAAAACCACACAAAGAAAAATGGGTCATGGCTGTATAGATGGGCAGGGCCACAGAGGCATTGGTCTTAGCTGAAAGCTGATTGGGCCCTGGCATGTCACCTCCCCTGTCAATCACCATTTAAAAACATGTTACGGGATAATGATAAGGTTGGTCCCACTTATGCCCCCCCCCCAACATTACAAAATCCTAGAATCTCCCCTGAAATGGGTTTTCGTCAAAAGCAGAAAGAGAGGTGCTGCATCATGACAGGGTGTGTGTGTGTGTGTGTGTGTGTGTGTGCCACAGAGAGGGAGAAAGAAGGGGGCGGGGGCGGGGGCGAGGCAGGGAGGGGGATGCATCACCATGGAGTCCTGCAGCAGGTCCTCCAGCTTGCCCAGGCGGCTGCTCTTGTCGCAGGTATACTGCCTCTTGATGCTGTCCTGCAGCTGCCGCAAGTAACTCTCACACTCCTTCGCGTCGCTCATAAACTACAGAGCCGAGAGAGAGAGAAAGCGAGAGCGGGCTGTCAGTCAAGCCCTGGAACCGGCCAATGGAGCTGAGGGCAGCTCAGCACCCTCAAGCAGATGGGGACCCACCTGGAAATAGGTGCCGTTGTCTTTCAGGTGCTGCTCCACACACAGGCACAACTGCCTGACCCACTCCCACTGGGTCAGCAGGGCGGCGCTGTAAGCCTGAGCGGGCACATAGGCGGGCGGGCAGGCAGGGTAAGCAGAACAGGACAATGAACACAAATACATTACAGTTCAGGCAGCAAATCCCCCCCCCCCAACACCCCAAACATCAACCCGCTACAGCCAGCAGGGGGCCTCACCTCCACCGTCTGCTTGGCTGGGTGGTTCTCCTGACAGAGGCGATCGGCCGTTTCCTGCAGGATACGCATCACGTCCTGTTTCTCCTCCAGCTCTGACCTCATGTCCTGCGGAAACCGGCGGAAAACAAGAATTTCAGTCACATCAAAAAGACAACGTGGCTCCGCCCCCACGTCTGGGTGTGAGGGTGCGGCTACGGGATACGACTCTGCCACCTGTCTGTCGTCACGCCGCGCCGGGATGGGATGGGGCGCGTTACGGCCGTTCAGTGCAAAGCTGCTCACCGGTCACGGCGATGGTAATATCTGAGATTGCTGGGGATGATGCCACCGCAGAGCGTAAGGGCCCCCCCGAATCCGAGGCTCGCACCGCCGCACCCCCCAGGTACCTTATGGGGTGCGGACGGGGGAAAGGAGCAGTCATCGGCTCTTACGGGCTATTTGGAGACTTTGAGTGCACACGTCCACAGCGCCGCTTCAGCTGCTATTATATTTATAAACACACTGCATATTTATCTTTGGCTGACCGCCTTTGTCAGGATTATAGCCAGCTTCAAGGCTTTCGCAGTCTGCTAAATTTGGCCTTAAATGATAAACTTTGTTCCCCCATTTCACCCTCATTCCTGAGAGGCTCCTTCCTGAAATCCCCCCGAATAGGAGTGAAGCAGCATCGGTACCCCGGACCCTGCTGTGGCTGGCAGCTCAGTCCCTCGCACCCGGACCGGCACGCTCACCGCGTAGAGCTGCTTCTTGGCTGCCACGTTGGTGTTGCCGTCGCTCCAATCGAAGGCCAGCTCCTCCTCCTCCCGCTCGTTGAGCCAGATCAGTTCTTCTGTGCAGCGTGACATGAACGCACGCAGGCTCTCCAGGCAACGCAGTTGCCACGACGAGTGTTCCTATGGTGACAGGCACGTGCGTTTGCTCAGCATCGGAAGCAAAGAAGTGCAGCCGGCCTGGTCACTTGACCCGAGCGGCATGATGATGGGGAAACACTACACAACAGGAAGCACTGATGTGCTGATCTCCACCAGCATTACCAGGCTGAGTCATGTGATGACGGAGTTACTGGGAGGACAGGGAGCCTCCCCCAGAATCACATGACCACACATATACAATCACATGATCAGATATGCACAATGAGTCACACGACCTCACATATACAATCAACACTGATACACACAATGATAGTCACATGACCTCACATACCATCACATGATCAGACATGCAAAATGACAGTCACATGACCTTACATATAAAATCGCATGAACAGACATGCGCAATGACAGTCACATGACCACGTACCAGCAGTTTGCAGTACTGGTGCTCCAACTTGGCCAGTGTCTCGGTGTAGCTGCTGCGGAAGGTGGGGGAAATGGTGGCCTGGAAGAAGGAAGAGCCGGGCGTCAGGCTGCTCAGAGGGAGCGTGTGTGTCATGTAGCACACAGGAGCCGCGCTCCTCCTCACCTCGCAGCGCCGCGCCTCCTGCAGACTCTGCAGCAGGTCCTCTACGGCACCGTGCATGGCTCGATGCTCCTGCAGCCGTTGCTCCACGGAGGGCAGGTCAGTGCCCCACTCAGCCCGATCCAGCAGGTCCTGGGGGAGTGACAGAGGTCACGAGGGGGTCAGGGATGGAGGTCCCTCTTATGGAAGCAGCCCCTAGGTGTCAGACGCCCTCCATGCCCCCTCCTTCACCTGGGTCTCCTCCACCCAGCCCAGAAGCTCATAGAGGAACCTCAGGCTGCCTTCATCTTCTGAGGAGGACACAGCTACTATCTCGGCGCGGGACAAGGGCCTGCGCAGGAGGGCCGCCACCGCCCCTGCCGCCCCCAGCAGTGTCTGGGCCCCCAAGGGCAAGGAGAGGCCGCCGCGGCCCGGTGTCAACTGGCCACCCAGCTCTCCGCCTACGCTGCTCCTGGTGAAGTGACCTTTCCTGTAGACGCTGGAGCACTGAAGCCTGAGGGCGACCAGTTCCTCTTGGAGACGCGATACCCTGTGCAGAACAAAGCAGGGTTGCTCACTTGCTCACTCTTTCCCTTGCTCGCTCACTCACTCCTTCCCTTGCTCACTCCTTCCCTTGCTCACTCACTCACTCCTTCCCTTGCTCACTCACTCCTTCCCTTGCTCGCTCACTCACTCCTTCCCTTGCTCACTCACTCACTCACTCCTTCCCTTGCTCACTCACTCACTCACTCCTTCCCTTGCTCACTCACTCACTCCTTCCCTTGCTTGCTCACCCACTCACCCACTCACTCACTCACTCATTCCCCCTGCCTCACCTGAAGGCCAACTGCTCCACCTGGTAGTATTTTTCGTCCCTCAGGATCTGCAGGTCCACCTGCAGCTGCCTGAGCAGGCCTTCGCAGTCCTGTAGGTAGACCCCCAGGTCCTGCTCACAGCGGACCGGCTGCCCGTCCTCCAGCTGGGCCATATCCTAGAGGAACAGGGCGAGTCACGCTCACTGGCCCGGCCCACAGAGCTCCACACCAGTGGAAACATGCCTGTCCACTCGGATGTACACGCTTACAGATACGCTAGCCTATACTCTACAGCAGAAACAGCGAAGGACAGAGATGCACAAAGGTAGGTGAGCTTACAGCCTGTAGCGTGTTCTTCGCGAGGGTGAGCTTCTCCTCACATTCCAGAGCCATGTTCTGGACTTTATTGGCTATCTGCAGCAGGGAGTCCAACCTGAAACAGACACAATCTTTATTATGGTCGCTCTGGCTCTCACACACCCTTAGCATGTCCTTAAATGACTGAAGCATTCAGACTCATCTGCACAGTACAGTACAGTAATTCACTGACTCACACTGACTACACACCTACACTGATTACATCTCACTCTAGTCTCCCCACAGCCCAAACAGAGCCTGTCCCAGTCTCCCCACAGCCCAAACAGAGCCTGTCCCAGTCTCCCCACAGTCCAAACATAGCCAGTCCTAGTCTCCCCACAGCCCAAACAGAGCCTGTCCCTGCAGCCCCCACCTCTCCACGGCCGGTCGCAGAGCCTTCTCCCTCTCCAGCATCTCCATGATCAGTTTGCCCCAGTCCTCCTCCAGGTCATTGGGGTGCAGCCCCTGGGGCAGCTTGAGGCGGCCAAACTCCATCCACACCTAGGATGCACACACACACACACACGTTAGCAGGCTAACCCTCCATCAACAATCACAAACAGGAACAGCAGAAACAAAAGCATTCCTGTAAACTTCGCTTTTATCCGTTCCTCTATCCCCTCCCATTCCCACCAGCCCCTGGCACGCAGGGAGCCACTCTGGCAGTGACCCAGTTCCTCCTTGCCCCCCCCCACCTCCAGCAGTTTGTACAGGTGCTCGATCCGGCTTTTCTCTGCCTCCTTAGCTGGGATCTCCGTCTCTTTGAAGTGGACGTATTCGTTGTAAAGAGCCTGAGGAAAAACAGATAAATTACTACTACTACCTACCAGCCATCTTCTTCCTAAGCTGCTTAAGCAGATTAACATTATAGATGTTCCTTCCTTTGTCTATTAGTTTCTGAGCAGGCAGAGTTCAAAGGCAGCTGACAGCCAGAACAAAGAGCAACATGATCGAACTATCATTCAGACGAACATCTAATGCACGCCCTAAAACATCACTCCTCACCTTCAGCTCCACGGGATTCTGGGGGAAGTTCTTGTCGGCCATCAGGGCCGTGTGCTGCCGGCTCCACTGGAGCAGCGAGGTGAAGCGCGATTGGTACTCGGGCCAGCGCTGGTCCACCTCCTGCAGAGGGCAGAGCAGCTCACTGGTAGGATGTCCAACACATGACAATATCACCATCAGCATCATCATCATCATCTTTGTCTTTGAACGTACGTGAGGCGCAATGCCCTCCCCTCCTTCTGGGATTTTGGGGAAGGCATCATAAATGGAAGAGACATAGGTGATAACAGACTTCTCGTCTGGTGAAGGCACATCCACGTCTAGATGGAAAAAAAAAGAGCGGCCAGTCAGCATACAGCAAAGAGGATTTTTGCGCAGAAGGACAGACAGAGAGACAGACAGACGGATAGACAGATGGATAGAACAGATGGATAGACAGACAGACAAGAGAGAGACAGACAGACGGAGGCAGACAGACAAGAGAGAGATTGACAGACAGAGAGGCAGACAGACAAGAGAGAGATTGACAGACGCAGACAGACAGAGAGGCAGACAGACAAGAGAGAGATTGACAGACAAGAGAGAGAGACAGACAGACAGACAGAGAGACAGACAGACAGACAGACGAGAGAGACAGACAGACGGAGGCAGACAGACAAGAGAGAGACAGACAGACGGAGGCAGACAGACGAGAGAGAGATTGACAGACAGAGACAGACAGAGAGGCAGACAGACAAGAGAGAGATTGACAGACAGAGACAGAGACAGACTGAGAGATAGAGACAGAGACAGATACAGACAGAGACAGACAGAGACAGACAGAGGGCAAACAGCTCACAAGATTTACAGTAATGGAGCGAAAAGAGGTCCTGTACCTTCAGGGTCCAGAAGTCGTGTGACCCCTAATGACTCTGCGATCTCAAAAGCTTGTTCCAAGTTTTCGCGGTTACTCTGCTTTGCTACAACTTCCATGTTGATCAGGTCTGGCCTGTGCATTGACACACGTCACCCAGAAAGAGTTAGCCAGAGCAAAGGAAATGCTCCTCATCAATACTGCAAAAACAAGTGCACTGCATTGTGTTCTTACCTGCTTCTGGGAAAACACCTCCAACAAATGACTTTTACTATCTGGCTGTATTTATAAAATGACTGCTGATTATTTTCATGACCTCTCTTGTTCTGACCCACATTTAGCTGTTTACAGCGAATGCAAATGTAAACCCCGTAAACCTGCCCTATCCAACTTTACATTTGACAAGGTAAGAAATGTTATGTTTTATATTTTATTCTAATGAGCATAACACTTATTTCAAAAGACAGCTTAGAACGTAACCCATTTTAAAACAAGGTAAAACACACAAATTTACTTTGGCATTTCATAATCAGCAGTACAAAATCTCTTCCACATATGCTGGTCCTTGGTGCCCAGTCCACAGGAGGCTCCGTTTATGCTCACCGGTAGCGGTGCAGCAGTGCATTGAACATGCGCCCGTCGCTCCAGCTGGAGGAGAAGTTGGAGCAGCGCAGGCCGGGGTAGCCCTCTGTGGCGTGCTGACTCCATAACAGCAGCTTCTCCTTGGCCGTCAGGTCACCCGACTCGCCGCTTACGTAGATCTCCGAGATCTGGGGGGGGGGGGGGGATAGTGAGAGCCCATCAGCGTGTGCTGCCCCCACCTCACCCACACCTTTACCCCCAGCCTGTAACCACCCACCCCCTCCCAGTCATGTGAATCTTTTCGGTCACTGAGGATACATTTTACTTTCTCACACACACACTAAGCACATCACAAGGCAATAACCTGGTACCTGGATCCCAAAAGTGTCACTGAAATGAATAATAAATAACACGAAAAAAACAGACTCCTACAAGATTAGAAACCGTTATATTTTAATTTACTGCGGCCACTATTTTAAGCCATGCTTTGTCACTGAATATCTGCGCACTACAAAGGCTGCTCTCCTCCTCTGTATCCCTCATCGATCCATCCATCCTATAGGAGACCTGCTCCTCACAGGCACCCCCCCGCCCCCCCCCGCTTGCATCATCACACCCGCCCCGCCCGACTTCAATAGCATCCGCATCTGGACACTAATTGGAAACATGCAGCTCGACACTAAATAAGAACAGCTTGAAATTTGACCTTTCTAAGGGTACAAGAGCAGTGGCCTATTTGAGATTTGAACCAGCAAGCCTTCCCCAGGCTGCCCTTTTGCCCCCAGTGGCTCTGTACCCTAGCCCCTCACGCCCCCCCCCCGTCTCTGGACAATAGAGAGGCTGTTCTCTGCTGTATCTGGCAGTGCCTGGATCTGGTCATCAGTATTCCTTCATCATCCCTCTTTCTCTGCCTTCCTCGCCATGTCTCTCGGGTACAAATACATGCAGTGGAGTGAGGAGGCCCAAGAGATGAGCAGGGCACTGCAGCAGCAGGAGTAAAGGGGGAGGGGTTGAGGGTGACGGGGCGCCGTGGCGAGCCTGGCACAGGCTCTGCCCCCAGAGTAAGGCTGATGCCAGTGAGGGCACACCAGCGACTGAACGCAGCATCCGCCTGACGTCGCAGGTTACAGCGCCGCCCTGGGCGCACTTCAGCACGGCGTCATGCGGCAGGCGCATGCACACAGATCCCCAGCGGCACAGCGGTGGCAGGAGAGCGAGGGCTGACGGGGGGGGGGGGAGCCGGAGATCAGAGGCGGGAGGCAGGGTGGGGCCGGGCACGCAGGGCCCTTTGAAGTGCCAGCACACTTCCAACCCCCCGCCGCGTCCCTGAGGCTGTAGGGAGCCTGGCCGATTAATGCGCATTTTAAATGCAGTTTTATTCTGATGGGGGTGGGAGTCAGGCATGGCCACGGCGTCGCCTCGGCAACCCTAGGGCTGCCCCCCCCAGCAACCTAACAGCTGCCCTGCTGCTGTTAGCAAGTAGATCATAAGAGTAACCCGGAGTGAATTACCGTGCCCCCCCCTCCCCCACACACACATATACACACTCCCCCAAACTACCAAGGAGACGTTTTGTCAGACTCAGTAGGGGAGACAGGGCACGGAGGATGGGGTAGGAGGAATGGAGGAGAGGAAATGGGGGGGGGAGCTCTGTGCCAGGCTGATTAGACACAAGGGACAGTCAGGATGACACGGGGGAGGGGCCGGGAGATAATGCACAGGCGCATGCGCGCACACACACACACACACACACACACACACACACACACACACACACACACACACACTTGTATTCATATCTTTATCGGGACTATCAATTAATTTCTATAGTCCCAACAATGATCTTAACCCCTACCCAGCCCTAACCTTAAGCATAAGCAGTCAAACAAAATACAAAACTTGGAATTTTTAGTCTTTTGACAGCAGTTACAAATTTTACATTGAATTTGAGGGGACTGAAAAGCTGGTCTCCGCAGCGTATGCGATACATACAGACCCACACAGACAGATATACACAGCAGCATCATGCTGACTCATGGCACTGGCTGGTCATTCACACACACACATGGAGACGCATGTAAATCCAGTTGATCCTCAGGGTGCTGTGTGAGGTACTGCGACGCCCGCATGGATGCCGCAGCAGGCCGTCCCTGACCTGCGAGGTGAGGGTGGGCTCCTCCGAGGGCGACACACGGCTCTCCATCAGCGAGTCCGGGATCTCCGAGGAGCTACTGCTGACTGCCCCAGTGTCCGGGGAGGTGAGGGGGAGGTCACTGGCATACCCTGATGACTGGGGGTCCCTCTGGACCACAGCGATCTCCTGCTTAACCTCCTCGCTGACTTTCACCCTGAGCACGTCCCCTGTGTCCCTAGAAGGGGCTGGCGGCTCCGTCCACACCTGCACCCCCCCTCTGTCCCACGGCAGGGCCCCGTAGCCTGGGGGGTACACGGTGCGCACCACACACAGCTTGCCCCCCGCCTCCCGGATGTGCACCACACCTCGCTTCTCCGCGTCGGGGGAGCAGTCCACCATGGCACCGCCCCATTCGGCCTCCTCATCGTCCTCATCCTGCTCCTGGTCTGACCTCAAGATCCGGGGCCTCTGCAGAACCCCCTGCACGCGCTCCCGTACCCGGCACACTCGCCCCCCCCCAGGGGTGATGTTTCCAATGGCTGTCCCCTCACCGGCGACCCCCACAGATACTAGGTCTGAGACCAGGTGCCCAGGACTCATGGGTTGCGACCCGGGTTCTGGGGGGAGGGCCGCTTCCTCGGCACCCCCCGTGGGCCTGGCTCCAGAGGGACCATAGGAAGGCGGAGCTGCATCTGGCCGGACAGGACCGTCAGACCCAGCCACTGTGGCCCCAGCATAGTCGGCGACAGCCACCACTGGATCCTCCTTGGCAGCACCTCTGGGCTCCTCCTTCTCCTTCTCCTCCTCCACCCTATTGGCGCTGGGCTGGCCCCCACCCCCCTGTGCCCGGGTCGCAGCGTGCCGCCCTGTTTGCTTGGACTTGCGCCTGCATCTGAAGCGGATGCGCTTTTTAGGGGACAGGGGACGCACTCTCTTTTCTCCAGCCTCCCGCTGTTGTTTCACACAACCCAGAGAGCCGCCCATGTCCACAAAAGGATAGAAAATGGGAGGGCTTCCGTCCCAGACCACACGCAGGGGGGGTGAGATTCGGGCCCCGAGCACACACAGGAGGGGAGAGGTTCAGTCCCCAAGCACAACCTGGAGGGGAGAGGTTCAGTCCCCAAGCACAAACTGGAGGGAAGAGGTTCAGTTCCCAAGCACAAACTGGAGGGAAGAGGTTCAGTCTCAGAGCACGCACAGGAGGGGAGAGGTTCAGTCCCCAAGCACAAACTGGAGGGGAGAGGTTCAGTTTCCGAGCAGGCACAGGAGGGGAAAGGTTCAGTCCCCAAGCACAACCTGGAGGGGAGAGGTTCAGTCCCCAAGCACAAACTGGAGGGGAGAGGTTCAGTCCCCAAGCACAAACTGGAGGGGAGAGGTTCAGTCTCCGAGCATGAACAGAAGGGGAGAGGTTCAGTCTCCGAGCATGAACAGAAGGGGAGAAGTTCAGCGCCCAAAGGCACAGGTGTGGGACAGTGGAGGTAAGGAGCTGGTACAGCACAGGTTTGTGTCTCCCAGTTGCACAGCTCCTCTTCTGCAGTCGCTCCTTCAGCCTCCCCCCAACGGGCACTGATTTGACAAACTCACTGACAAAAACACGCCATCAAGGGCACACAGCAGCTACACCAACATCTTCAAAATCAAATTCCAAATTCTGCTTTCCCAGAAATCCTATGGGCTCCTGCGCTCTTCTGCCTTTGGGCGCTGCAGGCAGGGGGTGTTCACGTCGCCCCCCCGGGTGCGTATGCAGGGAGGGGGGAGGGTCTCATCGCAGGAGTCCAGGCGGCAAGCCCCTGAGCATGCGACTTGTAAGACTGCAGTGCAGAAGGAGCACAGGCGCGGGCAGACGTGTCGCGGCACAGGAGGGCCTGGGGCATACGGGCATACCCTTGAGCTGAGCCCGCACCTCCCTGCATGCGTGACAAATGCCCCTGGGGGAGGAGCTTCTCAGGCTGGCCTGCAGCCACGTGTTATCAACAGCGCGCTGCTTCCCGTGTTGTTGTTATTGTCGCCGTCGCCATCGTCATCTTTGCCGTCAGTGATAGTAGCAGCAGCACTGGGGTAGCTGCGTTTCTGCCAAGATGACAGGAAGGGGGCCCAGACTGGCGGTGGGCGAGGGTGTCGCTACGGCACGTGCCCCCCCCACTCACCGCGTCTCCCGAGGGTTCCCCAAAGTACTGCCACTGTCCACATCATCACCAGAGCTGCCGTTTTAGTCCCGTTTTGACTCGCATTTCTCCAGGCCGCCACGTCCTATGGGGGTCGGTCCCTCCCGCTGGTCTCCGTGGCCGCCCCCCCACCCCCGGCGTCACGTGGCGCTGGGCCACGGCGCTGACATCACCGCAAACAGCCGGCTCTTTGTTCCGCAAGACCTACCCTGACACCGAGGACCGGGCTCTCACCGGGCGCCAGTCAGCACGCACCTAAAAATAAGTGACGCACTCGTCGCCCTCTGCTGGTGTACTCTTGGTGTTGCCACGCGGTTACAGCGACCCCTCCAATCGCAGGTGCAGCCGGCCAGCCCCTTCTGGTCCGTGTGTCGGGCCGCCACTGGTGAGCGCAGGCGTGCCGAAAGCAGCCACTCCCGCCGACACGCTCCCCACGTCCCTGAATCCAATTACTGCGGCTGCTAGGCTAGGCTAAGCTAGCACGCGCTAGGCTATGCTAAGCCCTGGAAGGCTGGCGTCCCAGGGATTGGCATCCCACTGCTAGCCAGGCTGCATTGGGCAGGGGCTGGCGAGGTGTCCTGTGACCCGGAGGACGCTGAATGGGGAGCAGAGAGGGCGGATGATGCCAGTCAGGAGATACGGAGAGAGAGAAAGAGAGAGAGCGAGGCGCAGACTCCGTCCGTCGGCAGGCACTGGTGGACAGATCCAATTGATACGGTGCTCCCAAGAGAGAGAGCTTTACTGTGTGTGCAAGAGAGAGAGAGAGCGGGAGAGGGGCAGGCTGCAGGGCTGGCCGATTTCTTGATCCGCCGTAGATGCGCGTGTCAGAGGCTGCGGGATTTGTCGATCCTCTGATCCGTTTCCTCTGTGTGTGTGTGTGTGTCTGTCTGTGTGCGCGAGCCGATGCAGGGCTGGGTAATCCTTTGATGTGCCGCGCTGGTGAGTGCGCCTGCGTCTCGCTCTCTGTGGACACCGGGGCCTGGAGATCCTGCAGAAGCCGGGGCCTCGAGTGGTGGCGGCTTCCCTCTCCTCCCTTCTCTCTCTGCAGCTCTCTGTCTCATTCCCTCCCTCCCTCACCAGTGCCGGTGGAGGAAAAAGCGCCGTGTGTGCCGTCTGCTGCAGCTTACAGGCTCTCTGCTGCTCGCCATCCCCCCCCCCCACTCCTATAATTCTCCTCCCCCTATCCCACTTCCACCTCCCTCCCTGCCGCTTTCTGCTCTTCAGCTCAGAGAACACACACACACACACACACACACACACTCGACCTAAAAGCCATTCTGAGGTGCAATTGGTTGGCAACCTGCTACTAATAGGAATGAAAAAAAAAATCTGCCTTTTCATTGCTGCCTCCTCCCTCTCCCTGTAGTTCCCTCGCTATTTCTATGCTGTTCTTACTCTCTGAGGGAAAAAGCGGCTCCCAGAGAGGGATACAGGCAGAGGGACACACGTTTGGGAAGGAAGAACGCAGAAGCACTGGGGTGAGGGGAGATGATAAATTTAGCTGGAAGCAGGGACCAGTAGGCAAGGAAGAACTATAGCAGACAGGCAGCATTTAGGGCGGGGCCAGGGCACCAGGCGACCAATCAGAGCACTGCTGCATGTTGCATACAAGCTGGCGCACATGCAGCAGTGGAGTAATGCGATGCACCAATGAACACTGAGGAAGCACGGCAGAATGTGCATGCTCGACGTATCAAGCGCGCTCGGCCTTGGAGGGCCAAAGCGTGTTTCACATTATGAGCTGCAGAGCAAGATGGCTTACTGAGTAACAGCTCTTCACTGGACGACAGCAGATCCCTAGAGACGCGAACCAGGCGGTTCCCCATCAGCTGACAGGCTGTACGCATTTCAGCTCACTCAGGGATCAGGCAACACCAACCAGCAGGTCACTGCATCGGAGTGACCACCAGGGGGCAGGCATCATGAGGAGAATCCCCTTCACACAACCCAACCCCACTCACAAATCTACACACCATGTTTACAAGAGCAGCATCACCAGTAGGTCAATTGATCACGATGCCCCTTGCCCCCCCACCCCGAATGTACACCGCATTTTACACAAGCACACAAATGAGTGCCCACAAGGCACCCGCCAGAGTGACCATTCTCAGGTGCTGACCTCTGCCAGCTGGGCATTGCTATGGCAACAAGCCAGCTCTTTAAGGAAGCACTACCCCTAGGGCAGGAGGCCCTTCACCTTCAGACACATTAGCCAGCCAATCAGAAGCCTCAGAACCTCTCACAGGGGCCAGGAGCAGCTCCTGATTGGCCACTGGACAGCACCTCTTGTTCCAGAAGCCCAGCCCGAACCCCTTACCCCGGCCTGCCCTTCAGGACAGCAACATACCACATATGCAGCCTTTCTATCAGCTTCTCATTTCCCCCTCATCCCTCCATCCCCCTTTGCTCCTGATATGCAGAGTCATGCTGCCAAGAACAGCTGCAGAGGAAGGCAGCCACGTCACCCTGGAAACCAGCCTATTGTGCCTTGAGATGACATTGATCTACTGGAGCACAGCGGCCTCTAGTGGCCATCTAGTGGAAGAGCCGGTATATAAATGTGCAACACATACCTAGATAAAATTCTTCCGGGTCAAGTATGATTTGTCTGTTTATTTCACATGCTACCAGCTACGCATCCCAGATTTCTATGCCATTGTGGTTACCTGGTCTATTTCACTCAAGCTCAAGGTCATGCTGCACACGCACAGCCGGGGGGCCTGCGTCACTATCGGATGAAGGAGGGACGTTCCTGCTTTGACAGGCCAACTTCCACTTCCTGTACAGCAGGGACCAGTGGAACATGCAGCCCAAGCTGATCGAAGCTGGAAATTCCCCAAAACTCCCTGGCAGGATCCGGAGATCCCCAATGGGCCGCAAGTGCAGAAATTACATCCTTCCGTTGGGATTTAAAGGCCGACATGATCTCAGTGTGGCGTAATTCCAAACCAAGGTCACACGACAAGGTATAAATGACACCTGAAAGCAATAATATTTCCAAGAGACCAAAACCAAAGCATGATTATTTTTGATTATGGGTTCTGCTTAGGTCATCATCTGGGGTGGATTTTTCCATAGTATGATATGTGATCAGGATCTGAGGTGAAGCACATTCTCTTACGGCACAACAGCATGGATACACACACTGACAGTGAAGGCCCCCTGCCGCCAGGGGGCATCCAGCAGAACTAGAGGATAACCGTATGCATGAGCAGAGCATAGCCAATCTTCATCAGCACCCTGCACCCTGACTGGTGATAGCGCCAGACGAGTAGATCAGGCAGAGAACTTTGATGAGCTCAGAGAATTAAAACCAGGAGCTGGAGGACAGGGAAGAGCTCACAGCGACAGCCCGCTGCCCCTCATTGGCAGCCCGCCTCCCAGCAGCAGCTCCAGAGCAGCGGCCTTCCTAGCGTCCAAAACGCCAAGCGTTACCAGCGTGCACACATACTAGCATATATACGGCCAGCTGACTATCCCAAGCAAACACACAGCTCTCACAGGAAGACAGCCGAGCAAGTCACACTGTAGGGTCAGGCACTGGGGGACAGACCTGGAAGTGGAGGATGATGGTCCAGATCAGGCCCAGCGTCAGCTTGGGGTTCCCATCGGTGATGTCATCGTTTCGGATGTTCACCAGCTTGACCTGTTGAGGACGGGGGTGTGGCCTTTAGCTCATGATAACTGGATGTGTGCAGGTCTGACGGCAGGGAATGTGGGGCACGATGCTTACACTGTACGTAAGACATGCAAAGATACACCCTCCCCATGATGGCACGTACCTGTCTCTGCTTGAGGAAGTCCAGGGCAATCTGCACGTTCTGCAGCCGGTGGAACCGCATGCGGCCTTTCTCCCGGGGCTGGGGGAGACAGGAGGGAGGGACGTGAGTGTGGAGGGAGCCATCAGCACAGGGGGCGGCGGGGGGAGGGTAGGGTGGGGTGGGGAGAGAGGACGCAGGTCAGCATGAAGCACCAGCTGAGGATCTGACGGCTTCTCAGGAACCAGAAGATCACGGACGTGCACGCATGCACACTCGAGCACCTGGTGCGGGTTAGTCATCGTTTCAGGAAGCCACATGGGGGGGGGGGGTCACAGGGGCCAGGGAGAAACTGGAGGAAATCTCCATGCAGAGGGCGGTCCTGCGGGCCCCAGCGTGATGCACACACCCTCAGCCAGCAGGGTGACCAAGCCCAGGAATAAAGAGTGAGGTCTCACTGCCCAGGCCCTACCTGCACGCATGAGTCAATCTCCATAGCTCTGGTCCTCCGTGTGAGTGTGTCCATGAGCTTTCTGACAGGAATCTTCTGAGTGTGCTGCACGTGCATGGACATTTGTGTGTGTGTGTGTGTGTGTGTGCGCGAGCGAGCGAGTGCATGCGTCTGTCTGTCCGTCTGCCTGCCTGCCTGGTTAAGCCACTCCACTCACATGCAGCCAGGGGGGGGACTCTGGGTCTGTGGGACTGTGGGGGG